TTTCAGGGTGGTGTCTTCAGCCCAGACTTTGGAGCGAATCTAGCGAGAGAAATTCAAGAGTCCGTTCGAGACGCTGCAAGCAGGGGCGGAACTTCTATAATCAGCGGGTCAGGTTCCAGCAGTATTACTATGACCATAGGTGGTCGTATCTACACCGCTCACTTGCCCCATAGCAATTCAGTGTCCACCCAAAGTTCTGTCTTTACCAACAGCAGAGGGGAGCTTGAGGAGCGCGTGATAGTTAATGTAAATGGAGATGTGACTGTCTATACAACTATAAATGGAGTAACCACTGCAACCGACGCGCAGGGCAACATTCGCCCGGATGGCGGACCTTTCCACATCGGCTCTCAACCGAGGTTCTATTAAGAAGTTCAGTACCACTAACGACTTCTCAGCTCAATTTCACACTAACTGCATCAGCGACAGATAATATGATTGCATGTGGTGATTTGACTGTGTAGTTAACGCTAATGAAGCCTTGCATTCCAAGTTAGTTTTGCAATTTGAATAAAATGGTGGCAATAAAGAAAATCGAAGCTTGATAGTGCAAAATACATAGATCTGAATTCATGTTGAGAGCCTTTACAGAACCGAAAAATTCGAATTCCGGACAGCTCACTGTTTTTTCTTAGTACAACGTAGATGAAGCATTCAGATGTGTTGAGGATTTTTAACAAACGGTGTTTTCAAAAACATTCGTAAATTTTTCTTTTTGAAATATCATTTGAGCATATGCCAACAACATTGTTGAGAAAAAATAGCATCTTTAGAAGATCTTTGCTAAAGCAGGTACAGCAAAATACTTATCTAATACTCTTCGGATAGCTGACACCAGAGAAGTCTTTAAAGTCAGCTTTGAGTCCCTAACCAAAGGCTGAAAGTCAAAACTATTCCCAATAGAATGTTTTTTGTGCCATCCATTAGCAAGGATTTTGTCGAACATAATGCACTGTTATGGCATTGCACTGTTAAGTAATTTTCTACACAGTTCTCGTTCCAAACTTTGGAAACAACACTCTGAAGAGCTGTTCTAGGCACT